TATTATGAAATTCATTTTCAAGGATATCACCGAGATATCACTATAAAAACTGTTGATCAACTGATTATTATAAAATTCATTTTCAAGGATGTCCATAAAATTTTGAGCTAACAAAGGCTTCAACAGGTTTTCCATTATTAACCCTTTGCTGCATGCTAGTTCCGAACATCAAACGATACAAGTTTTGCGTTATCAGGAAAAGTAACGTTTTTGATATTATTCACTGAATGATATGTATCATTTTTACTGAATCGTGATTTGAAATTGCTGAAACAATTGAGCTGGTTGAGCGTTTCTTAGACATAACCATATTATGGACAACCTTGGAAATGAAATTATTGAATATCAGTTGATCAACAGACGTGATGAACGTGATTTTGTTATATCCGCAAATCATCTCATACAGACATCGTCATACATAATTTGTCGACATATCTCTATCAATAAAAAGTAGCAGCTTTTAATAGTACCTATGCTACAAAACAACAAATCAATGTTAACAACGCTTACAAGGGAGATATTATTGAATCCATCCAATAAACTGCGGAGACAAGCCATTTGCCAGGTATATTCCACTTCAATGAACAATACTAAGCGTCATTGGACATAGTTTGGTGAACCCAACAATAAGATCGCCGGTTTTTTTTTTTGAAAAGGAAAATTTTTATTTGACTTTTCTTACAGATGTTCAGTGTTGAATAGGTCAGGAGTATATGAATTGACTTGTGATTCTCACCCAAAACTTTATATTGGTCAAGCGAGGGGAACTTTTTACCAAATAATAAAGGAACAGAGAAGAAGTTTCTTGAATATGATAACCAATTCCACACCTGCAAAACATCTTCTGATATATGGACATGAGTTCAACCACGCAGTATTGCATTTGGAAGATAAAGGTTTGGAAGTCAATCTTCTGGAGTGCATAGAAATTAATAGATCTGAAAATTCTAATAATTCACTGATTCACCAAATGGAATTGAATTATTCTCCTCTTTTGAATCTGTTTTCCAATGTGGAAATTGTTAGTTAGTCCATCGCATGTTCATTCATGAATGTCTAATCAGTATTTACCTGTCCTAAGGTAACATTAATATTCATTGAGTAGCCATTAGCCATTCAATTAGTTGAAATGAATTTGTCAGTATGTTTGAATATGTCCATTAGTCTTCACGTAAATGCAGGTGAATTTATGGAACATCATCGAAGTCACGACTATTTTGTTGGGTACCGCAAGGCACCTGAGCAAATGCTAGATTAGCTCATGCGATGTTGTATCAAATGTATAGCTATTGATCGATCCAGGCCATAGAGAGGTTACGCTTATACTGTATCGAGTTCTGCATTACACACCTATCGATGAGCATGTTCTCTTTTCATCCAGCGTCTCCTCTCTTCGACCCTCTCTGCTCATATATCCGTTTCAACACTCGGTCAACTGCGGTGGGTATTTGTGTAGATAAGATGCTCGTCAACAACTTATAACACGAATTTGAGCAATGTTATCGGTCTGCAATTCTTAGGAATCGATGAATCTAAGCTTTTGGGGATGAGAACGGCCGACCCCTGTCAAAACAATCCAGAATCAACTACCCTCCGTCCTGCCATGACTTGAAAACTCTGGCCAGATGGGGGTGAGTGTTTGGTAGTTTTTTCTACCAACCAGTGTTCAGCCTATCCGAGCCTGCAACATCAAAGTTCTTGGAATCTACAAGAGATCTCTGAACGTCATCCGGGGTTATTGGGTTGCGCCGTTCAATTTTCCGAATCGCAAAGCAAATTTTTTATGCTTTTGATTCGGAAAGCGATTGAACGGCGCTATACCTGCGCCATTATTATCATTCATCGAGGGGCAAGCTTGTCGAGCCCTAGAATTGATACATTCAGGACGGGGGACCAGCATCATCAACCAAAGAATTATCTGCACATCATAAGGTAAATGATCATTGGGTTCAAGAATCATGTGCTCTAAGCAGGTGCAATGATCGAATAACGACAGCCTTCTGCATTTGTCCACCTGGAATGTGTGCCTTTGTGAAACAAATTGTCAACGCATTGGTTCGTCTACTTATCCTTTCGCGGAATACTTGAGTAGCCTACTGTGGTCCCATCTAGTGGAATTATCATCTAACATCAATAATTCAACTCATTTCATCAAGAAAATGAGAAATTTGAACTTGTAGCCGAATGATATTCTAGTCAGTCGATGTCATTTCTCTCCTTATCATGCTTTCAGTCAAGGAGACTACTACGAATTTCCAGTGGAATAACTGCATTCAATTGCCGTGGATTGAAAATTTCTACATAGAATTTTTTGAGGAGAATTGCTCAACACCGCTCTATTTAAACCTACCTGTTGGTTTCGCTTCATTCAACCTCGCATTCAGTTCACGGTGGAAAAGAAAAACGAAGGAAATTAATAATTTCTGGATGTACTAGTGAACAGAAAAACAGACGAAATACTAGGTTACATAGTTTTTCGCAATGCTACTCATACTAATTTGTATCTCAACAAAACTCAAACATCTATCCAAGCATCCAAGACAAAACGTGTTGTGATGAAAACTCTTATTTACCATTTCACCAGAATTCATGAGTCATACCTACCTAAACGCAGCATTAGCACCGGGATACAAGAACCATAAGTATAGCTGCCACCTTATGCCGGAACAATATGTAATAGCAGAACATATCGTACTAGAAATCATACGCGTTACCATACACGATATCATAGGACTATCGAGATCTATAATCATCCCAACAACTTCAACAGAAGGGAGGAAGGTATACGACTCAAAAAAATGTGGTATCCAGTTCTCAAGAAGTATTTGACTAGAAAATATTTTCGATCAAGATTCCACCAGCAGTTTATTATCTGGTAGAGATTTTCTTTTTATGAACAAATTTATCATTATTCATTATTTGAATTTTTATGAAATTATTTTATATGTATAGTTGTACTTCAGAGTTTAGTTGAATAAATTGAAATTGACTGAATAAAAATGGTCCTTCTCATTGTAGTTCCTTCATTTTATGGACTGAGACTGTCCATAAAATAAATGACCTGCAAAGTGACGTTGAATTAGATGTTTGGAGATAATTGTAATGATGATTCAGTTACCCTGCTATAAATTCTGAGAAGTTTCAATTATTGTATTTTGTTTTTGCGGATACTTGAATCACCTACGAGACTTCCAATATTGATTATCTCATCAAGGTTGAAATTGTTTGAATAAAACACTGGTTCGGAAATCACTTGAACATATTTATTTGGATATTACAAATACATTTTCGCAATAGTCATAAATATACCTGCAAAATTGCCAAGAACTACATAATAAAGATTGCACGTAAATTTACTCAAATCTAATATTCGAGCCCATTTTTGAGCAAACGTTCAATAAATAATAACATCACGGAAAGTTTTTTATAATAACATTTTCACATCTATCAATTACTCCATCTAATGAAATTCTTTCTATAAGACACAGCTATGAAGTCACATGCTTATACCGAAGAGTTCTGAGAACTAACTCATAATGTCAGGCCCTGAGACATATTTCATGGTAGGCATTTTTATTGCATTTTATTGCATTGTGATAAAAATTGCGGCTTTTTTTGAATGAAATGAAACTGACACACTTTTGTTCAAGCGATTCTTGTTGCATATCAACTTCAAATGAAATCTGTTTAAATAGAACAGTCGATGAATTGACATGTTTCTACACATATAAGTGTGTTTTGATAAAAATGGATTCATGTATTATATATTTCACTCACAAAAACATAAGTACCTAAAAAGACTTAAAAAACGTTAAGCTATTCATATACACAATTGTGTAAAACTTCTAAAGAACGAATACTATACACAGCAAGGAGAATTGAGACAAGACAATGATAATATTTTTCGATTATATTCGTATGTCGATAGCCTCCTTTGATGCATTATGAAATGTCCGGAGATGGTGCGAGACTCTGCATATGAACTATAACAAATAAATATTGAACAAAATTTTGTTAAATAAAACAAGTCACCAACTTCTTTTCGACACGGCCATCTTCACTAACAGTAAATTGAGCCTCTTTGTAACTATTTTATAATATTGTACTATCATCAATTTTTGTAGCTCTTCCTTGAAACTGATAATAAACTTTATCGAGATATTGGAATAACTTGTGTTATAAGAGTACACCTCCGTTCTGCTGATTACCCAAAGATAGTTTCTGGGTAATGTTCCTAACTAGTCAGCAGAAACTATCAATGTAGAGATGCGAGGCA